GATTAATTCTGTCAGAAAATTTCTCCTTAAATCTAGGTTGCTTCTCTCCTTGATTAGTTTCCATCCATAGTTTCTTGTCCTGCCCTCAGGTGCTTTGGAGAATAGGTTGACTCCCCCACTTCTTTGTGGCAGCCCCTGAGATATTGGAACGCTGCTATTATGTCACTCCTGGTCCTTCTTTTCATTAAACTAGACATATGCAATTCCAGCAACCGTTCTGAGTTTTAGCCTCCAGTCCCCTAATCATCTTTGTTGCTTTTCTCTGCACTCTTTCTAGAAAAAAACATCTTTTTTGCATTGTGGCGACCAAAATTGGATGCAAATTCCAAGTGGGGTCTTACCAAGGCATCATAGAGTGATAATAACACTTCACGTGATCTTGACTCTAATCCTGTGTTGATGCAGCCTAGGACTCTGTGGACTTTTTTGGCAGCTACAGCACTGTTGGCTCATGTGTAAGTGCTTCTCCACCAGAATTCCCAGATCACTTACTGCTGTTGAACCAAGGACCACCTATTCTGTACCTGTGCATTTGGTTTTTCTTGTCAAAGTGTATACCTTACTTTACTCATCACTGGATTTCATTTGATTGGATAGGACCCAGTGTTCAAGTCTCTGGAGATCATTCTGATCTTGAGCCTATCTTCTATAGCAGGGGTGTCAAACTGGGGGCCCGCAGGCCAGATGCGTTATGCACAGACCACACCCAACCAGCTCCGCAAAGGGAAAAAACATCATGAAACATCACGTGATAGCAATGTGCTGCGAGTTTGACACCTGTGTTCTATAGTGTTGGCCATTCCCACCAGTTTGGTGTCATCTGCAAATTTGATGAGTTTTATTCTCTCATCTAAATCTTTTAATATTAATTTTCAATATTAACACTGAAATAATGTAATATTTTAATAAATATTTACAAAATATTTAATGTAATATTTTAATAAGTCATTCAATAATGGTGGTAAGCTGCTAATTTTGTTTTGCAAAAGTGTATTGACAGTAACACGGGATGTGGTGCTGGCTACCAACTTGGCTGGCTTTTTAAAAAAAGGTTAGACTAATTCATTATAGTCCTGGGCTGGCTCTTAACCTTGATAATCATGGGACTGCTTTTGAAGACCCTCTACTGAGAGACCAATAGGCTTCCTTGGGCAGTTGGTTTACCACAACTGAGAACTGACTGTTGAACAAGATGGGCCAGGGAATTGTTCTTAACAACAACCTCACAACAGATCAGTGTTTACAAAAATTCCACCTTCTCTTTTAAACATCCAAGCTCAGCTTCCTGTTCTTTTTAATACAGCCATACGCACGTATGTCTGAGCTGTGCAATTGTACTCCCCATAGCCTACTTAAGTAAATTCCTTAGGCACAATAAAGGACTGCCCAGGCAGCATGAGAGCTTTTCATTCCAAAATACAAGGAAACAGTATTAGTAACATCCCAAAAAGCTTATGCTACATGAAATGTGATAGTAAAATGCTCTGGCCTCAATATTTGTGCAACATAGGTGTGCTCAGCAAAATAGCAGGACAAATGGACAAATGTTTGCAATCCTTCCACAACCCAGTGGTTGAGTAGAATAGCAAGGAAAAAGGCATAACCTTCAAAAGTTTTAAAAGCTGGCTTTTAAATATGCCTGGCAATAAATACTGTTTTCTAAATTTGATCAATTTTGTAAGGCAGGATTATAAAAATCCTGTTCTGGAAAAAATAGAATAGTTATAGCTTTCATTGGTTAAATCCTGAACTCATTCAGTTAAGACAAACCTCAAATGTTAACAGAATGTCTATTATCAGACAAGTAGAAAATAGCAGAAACTTCATTTTGGATAAGAATTAATTAAAACTCAAAGCAACACGTAGTCAAAAATTGAAATATTCAATATAGTACAGTATTCCAGAATATGTGTTGGAAAGAGGATGAGATGCTTACAAACAATACAAAGGAGAAACACAAAAATATGGGAAGAAAAATTAATGAAGTATTAAATTAATGAGTTCAAGTCCCACCAGTCTCTCTCTCTCTCTTCTTGGTCCAACCAATTTCACAGGGTGGTTGTTGTGGGGAAAAAAGGAAGAGGAAGGTGTGTTGGATGTGTTTGTCACCTTGAGTTATTTATTTAAATAATAAACAGGAAAATGTGTGTGTGTGTGTGTGTGTGTGTTGTTTTCTTCCTCCATTTTTAAATTCCTGGTCTTTTAGGCCTCAAAATTATGTGTATGTGTGTGTGTCATAATTTTGAGGGCCGAAAGACCAGAAATTCAAAAATGGAGAAAGACAATTGAATTTACTATCTTATCAAGAAGCTACCTCAGCTAAGCATTTCTAAGAAGTCCAAAAAGGCAGATTATTAACAAAATAAACAGAAGAATTTAGGGAACAGAAACATAATGCCCTGGATGCTCTTTCACCTCTTGTTTTTCTCCCAAAGTTTTTCTCCCTTTCAGTAACACCGAGAAAATAAGATGTGTTAATTCAATTAGCTTTATGCAGAACTGTAAAATAAATGAATCATGCACCACTGGCAATATTCAATTTAACCCCATATGTTAAATAGTTCCCCTGGCCTTCAGTCAAAAGTCCTGGGAATCACAACAGACTTAACTGCTGCCAAAGGGGGGGGGGTGTAGGCAACTGACCCAATTTGTAGCCCTCATTCCTCTTGTAGTCAAGTGAAATGAAATCAAGAGGCAGTAAAGATTTCATCAGGGAGATTGTTAAGGGGACCCTATGTCTGAAATAGCTAGCAGTGAATACCCCTTTCATCGTATGCAAGTACTAGCTCCTTTCTGACCTCCCTTCCAAGTGAATTTAAATAGCACATTTATTTATTTGCAATGTTTATAGGCCCTCTTAGTCAACTGAGCAAATCCACAGTTAGTTAAATACATATCAAAGGTTAAATCCAAGACCATACATTATAAAATACCCAGATACACTAGGTATCTAACAGTGCCCTATCAAAAAACAAACAATCCAATTTAAATCTGGAAGGATAATCAAGTAGCAGCCACAGTCAAGAGCACCTTTGCACAGTTCCATCTTGTATACCAACTGCAACCTTTTCTGTAATCTTTGCCTAGATTGGCCTACTGTGATGATCTCTATTTGGGATGTCATTAAAAGGCAGTTAGCAGTAGAAGCTGTTCCAGATTGTGGCAATTGGATCACTGAACAGCTCTATTTTGATTTCTGTGGGGGAAAACCTCCCTCTAAATAACATCTCCCCCCAAACCTTTCAGATAAAGTAGAGTAGGATCTTTAAAGGTCCTCTTGATCACAGCTTGCCATGGGAAAGGACCATAGAAACAGGCCTCTTTAGTTGCTGTTCCCCACATCTGGAATAGGATCCCCCCAGATATCTAATTCATCCAGCAAGACTGCTGTGACTATCCCTCCACATTTACTTTTAATTAGTTTTTGTTTTTATTTTTTTGGATGGGGAGATGTTTAATTCCTAGTAAATCTGGTGTTTTATAATGTATGGTCTCGATTTTAACTGATTGTTATGTAGTTATTTTAACTCCAACTATGGATTGGCTCGCTCAGTGGATTGTAACGGTCTATAAAGTCTGCAAATAGATAATAAATGTCTTTTGGTACAGGAATTAAAGATGTTGCCGAAGCTCACGGAATGACCTATCTAGCTCAGTCTTTGCTTCAGTAACCAGCCAGAAAGACACTCTCACCATTACACATCCCAAGGAGAAAATTGCAGCTATAAAACAGCTTGAACTGATAAAAGCAGATTTTATCTCCCACTGGTCCAAAGTGATATGCTGATTTTGTCTCTCCCCCACCCCAGCCCCTTTTCCACACCCAATGCAAAAGGCAGAAATGAACATCAAACATTAGCAGTGCATTTATTAATTGCAATGTTGCAAACCGATGCTTCCCCAGATATCCAGGTGCGCAAGACATAAAGTTGATACAAGCCCCTGCTGTGTTCCAACAGCACCAGCATTCAGCCTGAAGGCTTTGCTGCTGATTTTTTTTTTTTTCCCCTCCAGAAAAAAAGAGCTCCCTAATTCCAGCCACAGGAATAATGAACTGACCGGTCTGGGCCCTCAAGTCTGTAATTCTGAGACACAGATAAAATGTAGGAATGACGCACGTCTTTGATTCTCCATCCTCCTCCGCTCTGGTTAGAGACAGCATCAGCCACTGAACGCTCAGCACCCAGGAAGGCACCAAGCGTTCATCATTCTCCATCCTCATCCAATGCATAACGTCAAAATTGCTGTTCAAGGACCCCGTTCCCCAACCTCAAAAGAAATTTGGAAGCATCACAAATGGGGAGGGGGAGCCACGTTGAATTCTCCCTCCACACCCCTCCCAATTCTCTTTTTAAAAAAATGCAAGCCCGGCATATATGCAATTATAATACCCACCCTATGAAGCTCGTATCTCCCCCCCCCCCCACACCAGCAGGGAGATTTTGTTTAAAAAAAAGCTCATTTCCCAGCGCAAGAGGCCCGAAGGATGCGCCCGTCCGCAAAGGGCTGGCCCAGCTTCCCACGAATAACCTGAGAGCTCCTCCTTGCAAAAGCCAACTGCCTCTCGGGCAGCCACCCGACCCAACATTTGAGAGAATGGGGGGGGAGGCGAAGAGATTGGGGAGGGGGGCTTCCCGGGCCCAGCAGCATCTCCCCCCCCCCCAAATCCCGGGGCCTTTCCTTGACCCGCTCGCCTGCCTCCTTCCGGCATCCGCGGGCTCCTCCTCATTCATCCCTACCAGCCAAGCCTATAAAATGGGGGAAGGGGGCGTTAGATGGCCACGAAGGAGACCCCCCCAACCCACCCCCTCCAATTCAACGCCGGTTCCTCAAGGCGGCAACGACCCCCCCACCCCCAATGGGACTCCCCCTTTTCTTCACCTCCCTCCACCCAATTTGTCGCCCCCGCCCCGTATCCCCACAGCCCCCCCCCCCACCCATGACCGCCCCACTGCGCCACCGTCGCCTCGACTCGCCGGCTTCGCCCCGGCCCTCCTCACCTGCCGACTTCGGCGGCGCCGCCGCCTCAGGGCGGCCTCCGCGAGCCGCGACGGGGCGTGAGGGGCGGGCCGGGTGTCCCTCAGCCGGGGTGGAGGACGGGCGGTGGGAAGGAAGGAAGCAGGGCCGGCGACGGGGCGTGAGGGGGGGGGGAAAGGAAGGCAGCCGGCCGGCCGGTGCTGCCAACCGCCAAAAAAAAAAAAAAAAACAACCCGGAGCCCCGGCGCCCCACGACCGCCCGGCCCGGGCACAAGGGACGGGCCCCCCAGCGAAAGCCGGCAGCGGGATGAGGAGGACGCGGCAGGGGAGCGGGGCGCGTGAGGAGGCGCGAGCGCGCGAAGAGGGCGGGCGGGGGGGGGAGGGCGAAGCGCGCGAGGAAGAGCGGCCGCGGGAAGGAGGCAGGCAGGCAGTCAGGCGGGCGCGTGGAGGGAAACGGGAGCGCGCGCGCCTCCGCAGTCTGCCTCTTTCTCTCTCTCTGAGGGGGGAGGTTTGGCGCAGGCGGTTGGGGGACGGGGGCGGGTCTCGTGCGCGCGCTCGCGCGCTCCTGAGGGGGGGATAGAAGAGAAACGATTTTAAAATATATATATTATATTAACATTATATTATATATATATTATATATAGTGAACGATGAGAAGCGCCGACGAGGCTGGGAAAGGAGAGCGGCGGGCGAAGGCGCCGGCTCTCCCAGGCGCGCGAGGATCGTGGATGGACAGGAGGGCGGGGGTAGTGTGAGAAGAGAGAGCGCAAGAGCGTGCCCCTCCTCCTCATGCTACTCTCTGGCGCGTGCGCACAAGGCTTTGCTGCTGCTGCTACTGCTGCTGCTGCTTGCTGCGGGATTCCCAGTGCTTCCCCGGGCTGGCTCGGGCATGGCCGAGGCGCAGTGGTTCTGCGGCAGGAGGGGTAGACCCCCCCCCACCTCATCCCAATCCGCCTCGTGTTCTGGCTGGCTGGGGATGATAGGAGGTGGGGGTATAACTCGCGGAGGTGCAAAAGAAGCTTCACTTTTGACGATCGGATTGCACCTTCGCCCTTGTAAAGCTGCGCTTAGTAAAACTGACTGTTCCCTGACCGGGAATCGAACCCGGGCCGCGGCGGTGAGAGCGCCGAATCCTAACCACTAGACCACCAGGGAAGGTGGCAGCAAGGTGTTCTGTGAAGCCTTACCAAAGTTAAAGGCTTTGCAATTGTTTTATCTATAATTTCTATGGATCTGTTCTGCTCCTGTGAGGAATGGAAGAGAAAACAATGTGCAATTAAGCAAACGTTGCATACATGTCCACATATGTGCAGAGAGAGAGAGAGAGAGAGAATGAGGTCCATGTGTTAACAGGGGTTGTCAAACTTGGCATCTTGAAGACTTGTGGACTTCAACTCCCAGAATTCCTGAGCCAGCATAGCAGGGAATCCAGATTCACTTAACGACCATGTTACTAACGTAAACAACTTGCAGTGATTCACTTTAGCAACTGCGGCAAGGAAAGTCGTAAAATTGGGACAAGCTCACTTAACAAAGGTGAGCAACATAAATGTTGGGTTCCACTGTGGTCGTAACTGGAGGGCTACCTGTGTCATGCCCCTGTCGGAGTCTGAATCTGAGGAGGAAGACGTACAGCTGACAAGGAGTAGGAGTGTGGCTCCCTTGGCTGTGGAGGAAACTGGGGAAGGGCAAAATCTGGCTGGGCAGAGCAGTAGAACAAAGGAGAGGGAGTTCAGAAGAAGACCCAGGCCCACCCCATCTTCATCCTAGGGCACGCAGGGAGGAACGGAGAAGGGAGCAACGTGGGTTGCATGGCTTACAGGGGAGGAAAGGGCCCTGATTCCCTTCATTAGCCACACCTGGGAATGAAAGTTTAAAAGAACTAAATGCTGAGTGCGGCAGCTGCTGGGAGCAAACGAGTTTATCTTGTGTTGACTTTGCTTATTTGTGTTCCTGGCGTCCTCCCAACCGTGTTGAATAATTGCCATGCCTTTCACGTCTGGAATTCTTGCTCCTGCCCTGCCGAACTAATTACCTCATCTTGCCTTGATTGGACTTATAGTTACAGTTTTTGTTGACCACATTTTGGACTTGATTCTCTGCAGCCAAAGGCTGTTCCTAGGAGAGTTTTTCTCCAGCTAGAAGGTAACCAGGACATTGGGGGCAAAGTTGGAGCTAATAAAGGGATTCCTAATGATTATCTGACTGTGTTGCCTTTGTGCCACGCCCAGGGTCTTCACAACCTGTATTAACCTTACTCGCTGAGAAATAGTTTGATAGCTAAATCTGGACATTGCATGTTGCTTGAGTGTCTGGCATAGATGTCTTGGGACACAGAAAGGTTTCCAAATGGCCTTTCTAGCCCCCCTCCCCATTCTTTACCCTTGAGATGGGCTAGGACTACAACCCCCAAAATACCCACCCAACTCTTGGAGGAAAAAAGCTTCTGCACTATCAAAGCTGTCTCAAAGAACAAAGTTTAGGGCCGAGGACATCCTATAGTTTTTTCCACTTCCTAGTCTAGTTTACAAAGGAGAAATTTCCTGGTGGTCCCCTGTCCATGTATTTACTGTCAGATTTGCTTCACCTGCTGAAGTCTGACATAGCAGCAACTTCTGATTACAGCTAGTCCTATAATTATGACCACAATTCAGCCTACAATTTTGATTGTAAGTCATGATGGTGTAAACCAGAGATTCTTGACATCAGTGTTTGTTCGCTGGTTAAGTCCTGTGAATGCTGAAAGAACATTCACACAGCACTTCAGTGTTTCTGCACCTTGGCAGCTTGAAGACATATGATCTGACAGTTCATACTTACAGCTGGTTGCAGAAAATCACTGGAGAAGCCTGCAGGAAAGATTGCAAGTCCCTGAGTAAGTCTCCACCATCCACACACACATACAAACGCCAACCCACATCACACCTCTTGCATACCCCCTCACCCACTGTTCTGACCCAAACCTGGTTCCAAGAGAGTAAACACAAGACAAAGGTACCAGCATGACCTTTAATGTTTCATTTACGAATCCCGTTTCTTCACAGGTAAAAGGCTGCTTCAAACCAATTAGCTCCGATAAGAAGGAACCTTGCCAAGTTTTTTGCAAGGCTGCCAAGAACAACAGATAAATTTCCTAAACAATAAATCAAAGAGTCTCCAAACACCAACCAAGATATTCTGAACGTCCACATGGTTTGAGTGCAAAAACTTCTTTGCTTCCTGCAAAGAACTCCAGTTTCTCAGCTGGCTTTTATCTCTTAAGGGAGGGGCCATTACCTTGCAGCCTTACTCCCGAGTCGCCCGTGCTGCTGCAGCTGCTCTTTCTTTCGAGCAGCCCTGCGTGCACACATACTTGGCACGGGCTCCTCGAGGGCCTCTTCATCATTGCTGCCAAAGGCAGCAATCTCCACTCAGAGGCGGTATTCAGCAGGTTCTGACCAGCTCTGGAAAACCAGTAGCGGAAATTTTGAGTAGTTCGGAGAACCAGCAAATCCCACCACTGACTGGAGATTTTACAGTATCCTTCCCCTGCCACACCCACCAAGCCACGCCCACAGAACTGGTAGTAAAAAAAAAATTGAATCCCACCACTGATTCCAATCCCTGCATCACATTTAGGCCCCTCATCTGAGTCCTCGCTCTCCAAGTCCTCAGCCGTCCACACCTACTGCTGGCGAACACAACACCCACCCTGACCCTTGCTATGCCTCTAATGTCCCCCCTTGCCACCCCTCCCTATGCCTCCCCCCTGCACACCCCCTCGCTCCCTTCTCCCACCTGGCAGCAGTTGCCGGACTGGGACTTGCAATTTCCTGCTGGCTTCCCCAGTGACTTTGCTTTGCCAGCAGGAACTTACGTTGCCTAAAAATTGTACGATTCACTTACCGGCAGCTGCCACGGATTGCTGTTGCTAAGCAATGCGGTCATGTTTTAAAACCGTGTGCCTTAGCGATAGTAACTCCAGTCCAATTGCTGCCACAAGTCAAGGACTTCCTATATTTTTATTTGTACAAGTACTCCTCAACTTACAACCACAATTGAGTCCAACATTTCTGTTGCTGAACAAGTTGTTGAGTTTTATCCCATTTTAAGGACTTTTAAGGACTTTTTTTGCCACATTTGTTAAGTGAATCCAGTTCTTAAATTATAACGCAGTTGTTAAGTGAATCTGGTTTCCCCACTGACTTACAAAAGATGATCACATGATACTGTAACCATCATAAATACATGCCAGTTGGCAAGCATCCAAATTTTGATCACGTGGCCATGGCACCCTGCAACGGTCATATGTGTGGAAAATGGTCATAAGTCACTTTTTAATGCTGTTGTGACTTTGAATGATCATTAAATGAATGGTCACTAAACGAATGATTGTAAGTCGGGGACTACCTATACTGTGTTTTTACTGCACTGCTATCAAAAGAATAAAAATCACAGTGTAAATTTGCACCATACTTAACAGTACATTAATCTTAAAACATTACCTAATTCCAGTTCTGACATAATTCAAAATAGTATCCACTGCTATCACCGAAAACAATGCTGAACAGCTGCAGCTGTAAGAGTGCATGGTGCATTGAGCACGATACATCCCAAAATTCATGCATCAGCAACCACGATAAGTTGGCTTTAAGAAAAATGTCATGAGTAATTACAAATTTTTGCAAGGAATGTGAAAAGCTAGAGCAAATAAATGATGTTATGTACATTGGTAGAACGTTTGCTGAAGTTGGAACTATTGATGGAATAATGCAGACTTGTGGACTTGCCAAGTTTGGGGACCCCGGTGTAGAATGTTATACTTTGGTGAAGCTGCTGGCTTGGGAACGCATTCAACTCTGCCCACTGCCAGGAGTTCGATCCTGACCAGCTCAAACTCGACTCAGCCTTCCATCCTTCCAAGGTGGGTAAAATGAGGACCCAGATTGTTGGGGCCAATAGGCTGACTCTGTGTAAACCACTTAGAGAGGGCTGTAAAAGCACTGTGAAGCGGTATGTAAGTTTAAAGTGCTATTGCTATTTCTTCACCCAAGTCCTTGGGATCATACACATATTTTGTATTTAGTTAAGTTTATTGTCATTGCACCTCGTACAACAAAATCAAACACCATCTTCAGTGCACATCATGACCATGAAAATAAACACAGACACACATCCTTCACACTCCACACATTGAATTGAAAACCCCCGACACCGCACCAACACTGCACTATACAGTAGAATTCAACAGAGCTACTGCCCTGGGATAGAAGCTGTTTTTTCAGCCGATTTGTCCTTGTTTTTATTATCCTGTACCGTCTGCCAGATGGTAATAGTTCAAAAACAGGGTGCCTGGGATGAGATGGATCTTTGGAATATTTCTCTGCTGCCTATGTTCTCCCCCACCCCACCCAAAAGAAACCTATCAAATGCACAATGAATGACTGCGCATTTTCAAAAGGCACGGACCACAGGAAAAAACTTCCAACTTGTAGCCCAAATGCTAAGACTAATTGCGTAACGTTGCTGCAGAATTAAGATGTATTCTCCGCCTAGGTTAGAAGGACACGTCGGGCTGTTGTTCACTGAACTGAATTAATTGTTTTCGGACTCTGCATCACTGAACCATCATCCTCTCGCTGCGCTCACAATAATCAGCAAGCCGTAAGATTGCCCGGAGACGGTATTGTGTGAAGTTGTGTCTGCTTGTTGTCATTCAAGTGTTTGTTAAGCACAGCAAGGTGGATTTTTTTTTTGTTTTTCCAAAAGCAAAGCTGAAACTCAGCCGGACGTGACATGAATGATGCAAAGAAACCACTGGCTCAACCTCTTTCATGTAAGGCCAATAGGAATTGTGCTCAACTTATGACAATGGGGACCAGAATTTCTGTTGCTAAGCAAGGCAGTTTTTATGACCTTTTTGGCCAAAGTTGTTGAGCGAAATCACTGCAGTTGTCCAGTAAATCAAGTTGTTAAGTGAATGTAGCTTCCCTGCACCCCCCACAACATGCAGGTTGTGCCAAGCACCCATAAAGTGGGGATGCTGTAAGGGTCGTAAGTGGGAGGACCGGTTATAAGTCAGGAGTTTTCAGTACCGTTGTAATTTGGAGCGTTCGCTAAAAAAGTGGTTGTAAGTCAAGGACTATCTGAACAGCATCTAACATTCGCACATGCTAAATTGGTTAATGTTAATCTTGGTTAGGGTTTGTTTCTTTTTCCAACTAAGCCTTTTGTAGTAACTCAGACCATTTGGGTATGATCAGTGTATTTGTATGATGTAGAAAATAGCTTCATTCATTAACCATGTTAGACGTTGGGAGAATAGGGCAAACTTAGTCTCATTCTCCTTAAGCAATGGTTTAGCATCACTTCAGGGCCTCCATGTGGCTTTGATGAGTGACAAACAATATTCAAACGTACAGGAAAAAAAGATGGGGTTGGATTTTGCTTTGGGATTTGAGATTCTAGTGAACACACACAAACCTTAACCCACAAGCCATCGATCTTCCCAGGACCCTATACATGCTATGAATCCTATAACGTATTATGCGCAATAAATCATATATTATTTTGCATGGATATATCGGTGGGTGTGTTTCCATTAGGGCAAGGGTCCTCAAACTTGGCAAGTTGTAGACTTGTGGACTTCAACTCCCAGAATTCCTGAGCCAACATGACTGGGGGAGGAATTCTGGGAGTTGAAGTCCACAAGTCTTAAAGCTGTCAAGTTTGAAGACCCCCTACATTAGGGCATCATAGGAAGTTATCTGGCCGGGGACATTTCCTATGAACGTATCTAATAGCATGCATTCACACATTTCAGTAGGGAAATAAGGTGAGCCACAGGTCCATGTCCTAAGTTTCCTCCCAGCACCAAAAATGTAGATTTATTTATTTTTATTCTGCCTTTTATTATTTTTTTAGAAATAACTGTTGAGGTGGGTTAGGCTGAGAGTGACTGGCCCAAGGTCACCCAACTGATTTTCGTGGCTAAGGTGGGATTAGAGTTCACCGCCTCCAAGTGATTGGCCCCAAATCACCCAGCTGCCTTTCAGGGCTAAAGCGGGATTAGAATTCACGCTCTCCTGCTTTCTAGCCTGGTGTCCTAACCACTAGACTAAACATCGATGCAATCTGAGGACTGTTGAATCATTCCCCATTTGGGTGGCTTCACACCAGCCGAAACCGTGAGTACAATCTACAAGCTTGGGCAGCGTGACATCCCCATCTTGTTAAGTCTTTAGGTTCCCAGGACCGATATTCTCAGGTAGTCCTCGACATACGGCAGTCATGGAGCCTGCTCATTATTGGTTGTAAATGAGGCCAGTCGTGTGACAGACCAGGCTTTTGCAGCAGTCGTAAAATCGATGCCACCGGTCATTCAACAAAGGCTGCAATTGTCAAGCGAACCCATTATTTTGCCACGCAATAAAATCCCCTTTTGCAACCTCCTGACAAGTAAAGTCAGGGGAGGCCGGATTCACTCTCAACAAGCGTTTTACTAACTTAACTGCAGTGATTCGCTCAAACAACTGCGGCACGAAAGGTCGTAAAACGGGACAAAAGCCTGCTTAAGATCTGTCTGGCTTAGCGAGGGAAAATTTTTGAGTTCAACCGTGGCCGTAAGTCGAGGACTACCTGAACAGTGCAACCATGGAGCAAGGAGAAGGGTTTGACAGCAAATAAATGTTTATGTGTTGGATCCGTTCACTGCCCGTCTGGTTTTGAGGCGACTCGAAGTTGCTCTGAACCTTTAATTCGGAAACATCTGCCTTTCGGGCCGCACCAAAAAGATCACTGCGCCAACTCTTAAAAGCCAACCTGGCTGGGGCCATTTTGGAGACTTCAGGGTTGCCACAATGCGAAGAAGGGATCGGGAGGGAGAACATAGTTAGATGGGGGGGTTTGTAGCCAAAGCAAAAGAGTTTCCTGGGGGAACCAAGGACATTTCCACAGGTGGCTGGAGAAGGGAGGAGTGAGGTAACCAGGCAACAGATCAGCACTTTGATTGGACCATGTGACTGTTTGGGGAACGGGGGGGGGGGGGGACTTTCACTTTTAATTAGGTGGAAACTGCAGGAACTTTCAGAGTTGGTTTTCCCCCATTGTGCCAATACGATACCTCCAATAAAACTGTTCTTTGAGGAATCCATCTGCCTCAGAGTTCTGATTTCTATGGGGTTATGGACTTGGAACGCTGATACACCTCCAGCCAGGGGTCGTTTCCCTGCAACCAGGATTTGTGGATCCAAAATATAACAGGACAGACGAAGCGCTCTGCTTTTCCAAAAGGAACATTTTATTGACAAATTTCCCCCAGACCCATTACAGGAGAAACAACTTAAGCCTCGTCCTGCAGCACCCGGTCACATCCACACCAATTCTCCCTTTTTTTTCTTTTTCCAAACGCGGGTGGGCTAACCTCCCTCTTCAGAAACTACAATAACCCCCCCCCCCCCTCTTCACCTCTGTGCATCTCCTGACCCTCTTGAGCCAGGTTCTGACCCAGGAAAGTATTCGGCCAACAGCAACAGAAGGACGCAGGAAGAAGGTCACCGTCCGCGTTTTTGAGTCTCAAAACTTGCTTCTCGGGCGACTGGAGAGACAAGAGGAAGGGTCACCAAATCCTCCTTTCTGGGTGCTAAGTGTCACTGTTGGTATCTATTGTGGGGCGCACGGCTTCCCATCCCACTGAGCCTCTAAGGCACAGAAAAGTCTGGATCGCTTCGGGGCGCCTCTGCCTTCAAGCTACGAGGCCGGGAGAACGCCGCCTTCTCGCCCTTCCCTCAAAGTATTAGTGTTTCCAGGCAGAATCGCCAAGGGCTGCCACAAGGCACAGTGCCACCCACGACCACCATGGGTTGCAGAAGCCGTGAACAAGATTCCCGCCATCAGGATCTCGAAAACATCGGACGGAAAGTTCCGGGAAGAAGCAACGAAGAAAGAAAAACCCGGCAGAAGGGAATTGTGGGGTGTGCCCCGATAATCCCGGTGGTTTCCCTCGCCGCCTCCGGGACTTTCTAAGGCAAGACCCAAATCCAGAGGACAGAAAAGCAAATTCCATACATTCCAAGGGAGAGAGAGAGGGAGAGAGAGAGAGAGAGAGAGAGAACATGCGTGCAAGCGAGTATGTATGCAACACGCCGAAATGAATGTTTAAAGAGCCACATGCAGTTTCTACGGTTAAGATGCCTCAACCTGTTTGTCCTTTCTTTTCCTTCCCTTCCTCACCCGCAACCTTCTTCATGCTTCTCGAGATATAAAAAGATTATAAACGATTAAAGCAGGTGGTGACGTAAGGCTCGTGTTTCAGCTCCCGCGTCCGAGAGACAAAGGGGGGGGGGCTAAATCGCGATGCGAAAAAGCTGATGCGCTGTGGAAAAGTGTCCCCCCCCCCCCCCCGCAAATGCCTCCCGCAAAAAATAAACTTTCTGAGATTGATTAAAGCTTAAGAGAAGCCCGGGTGGTAAACTCGGCTGGGGCTGAGAAGAGATTCCTTTCTGGGAATCCCAAAAGAGAGAGTGGGGGCGGGGGGGGGGGGGGGGAAAGAAGGGGGAATATCTTTAACCCTCCCCCCCGCCTACTTGATTTTGATGGTTTATCGGTCTAAACAAGAGATGGCAAGGTTTCCAAAGCAGCCATAGGCACTCTATTAATTGCCCAGAAAGGAAACGAGCTTGAATAACTGAAAGCTAGCTAGCTAGTTATAGACCAAGAAGATATAAGGGTATAATATGGAGCGCTGGGCTGTTTGGCGTGCAGCTAAATGCCTCCTAAAACGACCCTTTCCCCCCGTATTGCATTAAAAAAAAATCGATTTTTTCCACTTGCCACTGGAGGAGCAAGGAGCGGGCAGTGTCTACAACCCTCCGAAGCCTGAAAGAAGAGGGGAGGTCATCTTTTTAGGCTCAAACGGCAGAATCCTCCCCTCTCCGCTGATGGCCCCCTTCCAAAAGGAAGCGCAGCGCAGGGCTCTTTCTGAGAAGCCTTTCGTGTAAAATAGGTATAAGTGTACAAAAAGCTGTCTGTTCACTTTATTGGACCTGAAGATTCCAGCAGCGAAGAGGGAAGTATGGATGTGTCTCTCTTCCGAGTTGGGACCGCGATTCTTCTTTTTTTTTTTTTTTCCTTTTTTTTTTTTTCCATCTTGCGTGTTGGGAAGAGGCAAAGGGTGGGGCACTGGCAGCCATGCACCGCCACGCGGCAGTAGGACTTAGAAAGGTGCGTTGTCCTGGGGCGGCTTGTCACCAGCGGCCGTCGGCGAATGGAGCTGGTTGGCGCCGTCGTTATCTTTGCCACCCACGACTTTGGACTGAACGAGAGAGGAAAGAGGGGTTAATAAAAGAGCTAAGCGGATCGACGTCTCCCCTGGGTTTTCCGCCCATTTAAGTGCATTTTTCAAAATCTGTATCTGACCTTTATATCTATATCTATCTATCTATATCTATCTATCTATATCTACATCTATATCTATCTATCTATCTATCTATCTAATCTATCTATCTATCTATCTATCTATCTATCTATCTATCATCTATCTATCTATCTATCTAATCTATCTATATCTATCTATCTATCTATCTAATCTATCTAATCTATCTAATCTATCTATCTATCTAATCTATCTATCTAATCTATCTATCTATCTATCTATCTATCTATCTATCTATCTATCTAATCTATCTAATCTATGTAATCTATCTATCTATCTATCTATCTATCTATCTATCTATCTATAAATAAAGCGGAATACCACTCATGCATCATCACAACATCTCCAGAATTGTAAAGCCTACAACCTTGAAATTTGGCACATATGTTCTTCTTGGCTTCTAGGGGCTCACTAAGAAAGGATTTTTCAAAATGACCATCAGAGCATTAATATTTCCTATATTATTATTATTAACGCGCTTTGATGCTAAGAAGTTCTACTCCCCCTCCCCACCCAAAAAGAAATCTCTTCCAAATGCAAAACACAAGCAGAGGAGAGGAGTTTCAGTTTTAGTTTCACAGCACCAAGCAGCTTTAGGACAGAACAGTTGAGCTAAGCCACGCCCAGGCTCCTTGCTGTCTCCTTGCTCACACAGCAAAAACTGTTTCAGTTTCCAAACAGCCCTCAACTCTCTCACACACTGACAGGACGCTAGCCAGATGAATACTGATGGATGTTGGTAGGCAGAAGTAGAATTTTTCCCCTTATTTTCCTCCCCCAAAACTAAGCCTGATCACATAGTTTCGTAGCAAAGCACGGGTATCGAGCAAGTCTTCTTATAAACAACTCAATATACTGATACTCCTTCCTCCTAGTTTCCCTGCCACAACACCCACCTGTGAGGTGGATTGGGCTGAGAGAGTGTGACTTGGCCCAAAGTCACCTAGCTGGTCATCATACTTAAGGCGGGACTAGAACTCCCAGTCTCCTAGTGACTGGCTCATAATCACCCACTTGGGTTTCGTGACTAAGGCAGGATTAAAACTTCAAGTCTTTTAGTGATTGGTCCAAAGTCACCCAGCTGGCTTCCATGCCTGAGGTGGGACTAGAACTCACCATCTCCTGGTGATTGGCCCAAAGTCACTCACTTGGATTTCATGGCTAAGGTGGGACTAGAACTCACTGTCTTCTGGTGATTGGCCCAGGGTCACCCAGCTGGCTTTCATGCCTGAAGCGAGATTACAATTCACGGTCTCCCATTTTCTAGCCTGGTGCCTTAACTACTAACTGGAGGAGGAGGAGGAGGAGGAGGAGGAGGAGGAGGAGGAGGAGGATGTATGGAAGGAAAATTACCTTTATGGTTCCAACTCTGTCTTCGAAAGACTTGAAAGTTGCAGAATTTCTTGCAAAAGAAAAAAGAGATACGTTGTTTTTTTTTTAAAAAAGGAAGAGAATACTACAAGTTTGCATTCGTTGTTCAGGCAGGTCATCCAGGGGCGTGCTGCGATATCTGGAGAGCACTCCAGAACCCACTTCTCACAATTGATCATCTTCACAATTTGCTGAACTCTGGATAATTATGATCTGGAAAACTAAGGGAAGCTACACAAAAGCATTCTTAAAAGCCATCATTCTCAGCTGAATGAGAAACACAAACACCTTTTTTCCCCAGAAAGAGAATAATGTCTTTACAACTTCTAGGGAGGCTCGTTTAAAAAAACAAAAACGAATTATAGATAGTTCAGAAATTTTAGGTTCAAACTTTCCTAGAAAGCAGTTCAAAAGCTGGAATAGAATAGAATAGAATAGAATAGAATAGAATAGAATAGAATAGA